CGTATGTATTGTGTAATGATGAAGATGAGGCTAAGCTTACATAGGTATTATGAATGTATGATGTCTTCATAAGTCGCTACGGTATTGTTGTCTTTTCAAATTATAATTATTGTAATTATTTTGCAAGCAATTKTATTTTGTTTTTATAATAATCATCCATTATACCTACATTTGCGACCACAATATTATGTTCAYATAAAAAAATAATCTACAGCCAGTGGTCCTGCTCGACAAGTAATGCGTCTAAAAAACATTAAAATTATAATTTACAAATTAAATTAAATTTACAAATGTTTTATAACATGAAGTAAGGCGAAACATCTGTCTAACGCAGTGGTTATCAAGCTTTTTTGGTTCAAGGCACATTATTATTATACATCCTCCATCGCCGGACCTGATTTTATTCTCTCTCTTAAAACATGTAATATTTATTCACTCGTTTTATAATTTTCACTATCACCTGCAACAGTAGATATCAGCTCGCTCGTATTACAAAATTGGTTATAGCAACCAAATTATTCTTTAACTCCAAATTCCATATATATATTTTTTTTTTTGTGGCGCTTATAATAATATTTCAATGTATAAGTACATATTATCACTTATATTTATCATACGCAATATATTAAAAACTATTTTGTAGGTATACAATTTTACGTCATGCAGTAAAATTTACATTTAATACAATTTTCTGCTTGACAAAATATTTTTGTGAACCAAATCAAATAGAATCAAATTTATTTAATTATATTCATAGAATTTCTTTACAATATCGATTTTTGCTCATAATAAGACTTCCTAATATGGATGTTTCACTGTATAATATATTACTATACATATGATACACATCACACGTATACTATGTATAGACTTTTACATTATTTTGTATAAGGAAAGACCGATTTATCATCATACGAGAGTGAACGAGAGCGTTTCGATCGGGTAATGGATGAAATGATGAAAAGTACAATTTTTATTTTTTGATTATATCAGAGGTAGATATTCGTTTTCTTGTATATGTACCGATTACCCGCGAACATAACTTGATGTATTATTCGAATCGCATTAACTTGTTCCAACGAGATATCCTCGTTTTTGATTATATAATTTGTACTGAAAAATATTAATATATCTCTCAAAACAAGATATACATACAAAAACATAAACAGAACGAGCCCACATCTCCCCACGTTTAGGTAGATTGGCGGTCATTTGACGGCTATGTGGCTAAAAAATTGGACCGGGAAACATACATATGAAATGGCTGGAAAGTGTACTGGACGAGTAGATGGCTGTCGGAGATGGGATAGGGTGCCAACACATACGTTCAATATTCATCCACGTATCGATTGTTCCCTATTAGTTTGTTTAACTCTGATGGGAACGAAAAATATATTATACTGCAGGGTTTGTTTGTTGCGTACGTATAATCACTTTTTCAAATACCTAAGTAAATATAGCCAGAAGGAATTATGCTCCAAAAGTTAGTTTTGCACTGTCCCTTGAGCGTATATTGATTGAAAATACTACCGAAAATCGCCGCATTAATGATGCACGCTAAAAACCCCAGTCAAATGAAATATTTTTGWGCTATATTTCTAAAAGCTTATAACTCCGACATTAGTTTTTTTTTGTATTGTRTTACGTTATCATGCAGASATGATGTACATTTCAAAAATATCTTCTATAAACAGAAAAATATGTACCTACTACTTAACTATGCACAATGTAATATTGAAAATGTTTTAAGTTAAAAATTATAATAAAATTCTCAAATTTCGAAAATAAAATATGGATATCATTATTCATTTGTATGTTTTAAGTGTTTAAATTTTAAAATTTGAATCAGAGTACCTCGATTAATAATTATGAACTATTGGTGATTATATAATATTACCTATATCCTACTATCCTACAGATGACAAACTTTTTTAATTTTTTTTTTATTTATTAACAAAATTATAGTACGTAATTACCTAATATCTGGTTCTAACATTATTTAATAACAATTAAAAGGAAATCTGTTCAAAAAATATTTGAATGAGCGTTTATTTAGTTTATTACATTATTTGTTTATAACACAATATTATTATATTTTATAACAAAAAKTTATTATTTTTATGTTGGTTTTAATAGAAATCGTATAATTTTTAATGTTTTTATGAGTGTTTATAAAGCTTTTATCTATATAATACTAACTATTAAGTAATATTTTTACCAAATATTATAATGTATTTAATAGAATGTGTTAAAATGTAATTCATATTTTTTTTTTTTTTACGAGTACTTTGATTTCATAAAATATCCTAATATCGTACCTACATTACTTTATTTGTAGTAAACCAGAGTTGCGCTTAAATGTAGTTTTTCGATTATAATGATTTA